AGTGTAGAGGGAGCTTTACTCTGTATCTAACCCTGTGCTGTCCCTGTACTGGGAGTGTTTGATGGGGGACAGTGTAGAGGGAGCTTTACTCTGTATCTAACCCCGTGCTGTCCCTGTACTGGGAGTGTTTGATGGGGGAAAGCATAGAGAGGGATTTACTCTCTCAATGTAGCTTCACTGTGACCTGGAAGTGCTTGACAGGAGTGATTGAGACGAAGCCTTCCCTCACCTTCTGCACTCTGATGATGGCCCTCAGGGGCGTCTGGGTGATGCCCAGGTGACTGCGCACTGTTTCCGTGGCTCGCTGCAGCAAATGGTCCTGAGGCACAGTGTCTGGATCCCCAAAGGCTTCCTGGAACCAGGAGCCGCCCATCATGACCTACAAACAACGTCGGAAAGCGTTAGAGCGGGAGCGAAGGTGCTTCATTTTCTCCTGACTGGCTACAAATGCAGACACAGCATTTGGTCTCTAACTCCTCCCGGGGTTTCTGCCTGAGCCACAGGGTGTTCGGTCTCCTGTGTGTTCCCCTGGGGCAATTATCTCACCGGTAAACGAGGGCAGTTACACTCTCACTGACCCATTCGCCACTCCTGATGCTGGATCACGTTGAATCCACCCCCGTACGTACCCCCAGTATCTCCCCGCAACCCCCACCCCACGCTCTTGTTGTGCCATACCGTTAGCCTGGTGGTAGGGGGGCCCACTCGATCTTGCTGGGGGTAACTGCAGGAGTCATAAACAACGCCCAAGATTTCACTGCTCTCCTGTGAGGGCACGAGATGTCCAAAGCCCTGGATGGGACAGGGAGACAGAGAGAGAGAGACAGGTGATTGGAATATGGCAGAGACAGTGAGGTGTAGGGAGCATGTGGCAGAGAGAGAGAGAGAGAGAGAGAGAGAGTGAGGTCATGAGAGATGGCGTGGCTGAAAGAGTGTGGCAGAGGGAGGATTAGGCACAGCGGAGAGAGAACCCAGGAAAAAGAGTGCAGCAGTGACAGAGTGAGGCAGAGAGATAAAGAGGCAAACAGAGAGAGAGGGGGAGAGTGCGACACAGAGACAAAGAGAGAGACAGACAGAGAGAAAGACAGAAGTACAGAGACATAAATGGAGAGAGTGAGACAGAGAGAAAAAGAGACACAGAGAGACAGACAGAGAGTTAGACAGCGTGAGGGAGGGAGAGAGACAGCGTCAGGAAGAGGGGGAGAGAGAGTGTGAGACAGACAGAAACAGAGAGCGCTAGAGACAGTGAAATGGAGAGAGAGTAACAGACAGCCATCGGAGAGAGGGGACAAAGATAGAGAAAGCCAGACTCAGAGAGGCAAACAAGTAGAAAGAGAGATAGAGAGACAGAAGAGTGAGACAGAGAGAAAAAGAGACACAGACAGACAAAGAGAGTTCGAAAGAGTGACAGAGACAAAAAGAGGGAAGGGGAGAAAGAGTGTGAGACAGAGAGAAATGGAGAGTGTGGGACAGAGGGAAAGAGAGCTGGAAAGAGTGAGACAGAGAGAAAAAAGAGATACAGAGAGACAGAGTTAGAGAGACTGCGAGAGAGACACAGAGAGAGTGGGGCAGAGAGTGTGAGAATGACATCAAGAAATCAGAGACAGACAGAGGGAGGGGTTGAGGCAGAGAGATAAAAATTAAAACAGAGAGAGTGAGAGACAAGGACAGAGGTACAGGGAGAGAGGGACAGAGGGATACAGACAGAGCCACATATGGAGACAGGGGAAGAGGAACAGAGTGTACGGAGACAGTGAGACAGAGAGAGAAAGGGGCACAGAGAGAGAGAGAGACACACACACAGCAAGAGGGAAAGAAAGAGAGAGTCATCAAGAGAGAGCAAGGCACAGAGAAAGAGAGACACGGAGAGAGAGAGAGAGACTGTGGGAAACAGAGAAAGAGAGAAAGTATGTCAGACTCAGCGAGGGACAGTCTTACTGAGGGAGAGTGAGGATGCAGGACACAAAGGGTGGGAAATGGAGCGCAAGTGAGGAAAACTTCAGCAGCATTAGACATGTGCCCAGTGACATGTGACAGAGAGACACTCACTGTAACAGGCAGGACGGAGCCATCATACTCCAGGTTGACCACAGTGACAGACACGCTGTCGATCTCACGCAGGCTGTCACACAGGGTGACCCAGGACTGAGGGAGGATTCTGCTCAGCACTAAAGGCAGAGGAGAAAGGTCACAGGTAAAAGGCCATTCAGTCAGTCCCTGAGAAACAGTGACAGACCGTGCCAATCACTAACATACGAACCTTTTGCTGGTACCGAGGAAAAAATGTGATCTGCGTTCATCGTCCCTCCATCAAGATGGACCTAAAATACAGCACAAAATACTTCAGAGATTGGAAGTAGAGACAAAGAGTGACAGGGATGGAGACTTCACGTGTATTTATCCTGATATACCATATAACACTGGGGAGGGAGTTACAGACTGGAATCTAATCGAGGGGGTTCAGGGTGGGTCATATACAGAATAACAGATACCCGGGAGGGAGTTACAGACTGGAATCTAATCGAGGGGTTCAGGGTGAGTTATATACAGAATAACAGATACCCGGGAGTGAGTTACAGACTGGAATCTAATCGAGGGGTTCAGGGTGGGTCATATACAGAATAACAGATACCCGGGAGTGAGTTACAGACTGGAATCTAATCGAGGGGTTCAGGGTGGGTTATATACAGAATAACAGATACCAGGGAGTGAGTTACAGACTGGAATCTAATCGAGGGGTTCAGGGTGGGTTATGTACAGAATAACAGATACCCGGGAGTGAGTTACAGACTGGAATCTAATCAAGGGGTTCAGGGTGGGTTATGTACAGAATAACAGATACCCGGGAGGGAGTTACAGACTGGAATCTAATCAAGCGGTTTGGGGTGGTTTGTATACAGAATAACAGATATCTGGGATTCACAGACTGGAATCTAATCCAGCAGTTTGTGGGTAGTTTATGTATAGAATAACAGATACCCAGAAGTTGGTTACAGTCTGGAAATTAATCAAGGAGTCTGGGTGTTCTGTATATAGTATAACGCATACTCACATGGTGTGTGTTACAGACTGGAATCTAATTGATGGGTTCAGGATGGTTTATATATAGAATAATAGACACTGAGGAGTGAATTACAGACTGGAATCTAATTGATGGGTTCAGGATGGTTTATATACAGAATAATAGACACTGAGGAGTGAATTACAGACTGGAATCTAATTGAAGGGTTGGGCTGAGCTACATAGAATCATGGAATCCCTACAGCGGGAAAGCTGGCCTTTCGGCCCATTGATTTCACCCGAAGAGCATCCCACACAGGCACCCGCATATATTTTTAAACCCTTCACCTCCCAGGCTCCATCAGGCTTCTGTTGAATTGTGTTGACAGGTGTATCCCGGTGAATTTCTATACCGCGTCTCTGCAATTCCTGCTCCATTGCTTCTGGTAGGGACTTCATGCCTTTCCTCAGTGTCCACTGTGCCCAGTTTTCAGTCTGTGCCCGGCTCACTAACTCGGAAGTGAAGCGGGGATCTTTGCTGCCTGGGGGGGGTTGGTAACAGGACAGGCCAATGGAGTTGGATAGAAATTAGGCTGCTCTGCAACTCTCCCCCCACCGTCCCCACCCACCGGAAAATCTCACGGGAGAAGGAGCAGACAGATGATAAGGTATGGCCTTGGTGGGGTGGTGGGGGGGGATCAGCCAGACTGCAAATGGGGATATGAGTGTGGCAGGATGTGGGTGGGAAAGGTGGCAGTGAATGGTGCAGAGGGGTTATGAGCGGGAGGGGGAGACAGAGAGACTGTGTGGGGGGGG